TACACTGACGCGCTATGAAGTGACGAAAAGTTCGTCCAACTGACAGCGAAATGTAGGCAGGGGTGTGGTGATGTCAACTTGAGGTGGCACAATGCTGTTATACAATGTCTGTAAACGAGAAAGAGGTGACACACGGCATGGTGAGCAAATATCAAAACAGGTGAGCTGTCTCGTCGCACGGAAAGGAACATGGAAATGGATTTTACTAATAAGCCATGAAGAATCAATGGCACCATTAATGATCTTATGCAGGAATACCAAGTCAAGGACTGTTCTTCTGTGTGATAAAAGCTTCAGCGAAAATCTATTCAGTAAGCATTCATAGTCATAATACACGCGTCGTCCAATCCATCTATCATAAACAATTCGAACAAATCTTTTTTGCACACGTTCTATGATCAAAGCCTGTGTTACAGAAATTGAATTCCAAATCACAGAAGCAAACTCAAGCCTTGAAACCACTAAGGATTGAAAAAGATGTATTGAACAATGGGGCTTTTTAAAATGCTTGGTCAAACGCGATATAACACCTAGAACTTTCATTGCAGAGCTGACAACAAAAGAGACATGATTTTTAAAAGTTAATCCGCAGTCAATTAACACACCAAGATCCCTTACAATTGACACTCGTTCAATCGGATTTCCCTCAAGATGATAAGTGTTACTTATGATCGCGCGGCGTCTGCACAAAGATATCACTTTTGTTTTTAAAGGATTAAGAAATAACTGATTTTGTTTACACCACTGTGCTATATTAGACACATCATGTTGTATCAGATCACAATCTAAATGACAGTGATCGTCATTTAGATTGTGTTAAACAACTTGATATCGTCATTATTATGTTAAACAGTAAATGACAGTGATCGTCATTATTATGTTAAACAACTTGATATCGTCAGCAAACAAAAGCAGTTCAACGTTCTTTACACATGACGCTATATCATTTATAAAAATTGAAAACAGTAGAGGACCCAAAATTGAACCCTGGGGCACGCCTGATATTGAAAAAAACTCTTTGGAATAACTGTCAGCGACCCGAACACTATTTGATCGAAAAGACAAATAACTCTTAAACCAGTTACACAATTCTGTACAGACACCATACAGATGCAACTTGGACAAAAGCAACACGTGACTCACTTTATCGAAGGCTTTTGACAAATCAAAGTATATTGCATCTACTTGTTCTCTGTTTAAAACAAACGGCACACAGTAATCTAAAAAGGTACACAAATTTGTTTCCACAGACCTACCCTTTAAAAAACCGTGCTGCAAGGGCGTTATTTTTTGACGGAAATAAAAAGTCATCCTGGTATGCACAACAATCTCAAAAACCTTGGAAAAAGCACAAAGCAGAGAAACTGGACGGTAGTTCGCAACTACAGATGCGTCACCGCCTTTTTAGATAGGAACAACAACTGCTTTTTTCCAGAGCGAAGGGAAAACGCCTGAACTGAGTGACATATTAAAAATGTGCTTCAAAATAGGAATGAACAACTGACCGCAACCTTTGATAACAAAACCTGGTACACCATCTACACCAGAAGAAAACTTCGGTTTTAACTTTCTTATCGCCTCGGCAATATCAAGAGAGTCCACTCTTATAGAACTCAAAAAATCGTGACAAATCAGCTCCTTATCCTCCGGTAGAACGGATTGCTGATTGTCAGAGAAACATTTGGCAAAATATTCAGCGAAAACATCTGCAACTTCATGAGGTGATGAAACATAACCCGGGGCGTTATCTGAACAGGCACGTAAGCAGATGATAGGACTAACGTCACGTGTATGTTGCTTCGTGAACTTCCAGAAAGTCTTCGGGCGGCGAAACAAGCTATTTTCTACGCTGTCAAGATGCATGCGTTTATCGCGCTTGAACAGTTTCTTCGCCAAGGCCCGGAATAAACTGAATTTGGTGTACATAAGTGAAGAGCCGCATTTTTTATAAAGACGGTGGAAATGTTCTTTCTTGACCAAATAACATTTTAAATCCCTGGAAAACCATTCAGGATATTTGGATGGCCTTGTTGAACGCTTCGGTACAAAAGTGTCGATGGCATCTTTTACAATTGTCGTTAGAGTCTCGGTAGCACGATCGACATCAGACATGGCGAGAACGTTAGACCAGTCGAAAGTTTCAATATATTTATACAAGCCAAGGTAATCTCCTTTTAAAAAACTGTAAGCTAATGGCTTTGACGATATCCGCGACTTCCACGGAAGAGATAACTGGACTATTAAAGGTGGATGAAACTTATCAACTTGTACCAAAGGATCGGAAGCCAGACATAAGCTTAGAATGTGGACATTTGAAAGAACGAGATCTAAGATATTACCTGCGCAATTCGGTATTGAATTTAATTGTTCTAGACCACTCAAGTTAATAAAAGACAACAAAGAAAAGGCCTTTCTAGCTGTTAACGTATTATTGTATAGATCAATCAACTACTGTCTTGGCGTGTACTTATTGCTGGCACGACAGAAACGGGCTTATATATCAATATCAGGGGCTATATTTGCACGCGTATCTGGCGATGTATGGCCGTATTTACGCACTTCCAAGTTATCTACCAAGTTAAGCGAATTCGAAACTAAGCAGTACACAGAGAGCTGGTCAGAAATTGAGTCCGCCGAAACCAGTGGCCGGGATGATTTCATCGGTTAAGGCGTCGCGCCGGACAGGCGAAGGTTGCGGGTTTAATCCCCGCTCCTGGCCCAATTTTTCGCCAGCTCTATTTCCCTTTCCCTAACTGTAATGCAATAAATTCAATAATCACCTTCTCCCTTCTTCGTTCACAATATTACTAGGGCTGCACTTGTCAATCTTCACTCATCCCATTATATATATATATATATGTGTGTATATAATGGGGGAGTGTAATACATATATATATATATACAATATACTGAACACGATTTATTTTTCGCGCCCTTATTATTTTGCGGCTTAGGTCAAAGCTGAAATTTTGGAATAATTCCCAGGTTTCGATTTTCGCGGCGCGCTGAGATCTCAATAGAGATCCAGTGTGTCTACAGTTTATCGGACTTTTCGCACGAACTATATTTCACGTATATCAATCGATTCGGGAAATTCGCGAATATTCGGTCCTCGCGAAAATTAAGTCCTTTGCAGTACTGTATCATGGGTATACAGGTATCGAAAGATGTCTATACATCATGCAATCGATTCACGATCATTTGACAAAAGTCAACGAATTTAATTAAAATATAGCTTTTTTGTTTTTCGTTCCAACTATCTGACACTGGAATGTATTTCCGGGAAAGCTTGTTTAGGTTGCCGATTATTGTTGATTTTACGATATATTACAGCAGTTGCTTAGACAGTGAAGCATGTATTGTTGCTCGTTCATGTGTATATGTTTCTGGGTTTTCACTCATGTAATCACTTTAATAATGCTTAACGGCGCAGTATGTATATGTTTTAATACCTAAATAAATAAAAAAATACATTCACGGCGAATAATTTCTGCGAACGATACGTGCTGGCTAGTTGATCTCAAATTTGTTTAGGACTAAAAAAACAACTTTTTTTTACAACTTAGTACACGCCAAGAAAACTTTAGAATACATTTCTGCTAAAGACGTCCTGTACTTAGTATATAGCTTTACCTTGTGGTCTTCATTTTATGCTACATTTCGTTCCCTTTCCTAGCGGTTTTGTAAGTTAGGTTCAATGTAATCATTACCAGCTCAACGTAGTCATCGAGAATAACATCCTCAGAATACACTGGCATCTAGACTACATTTATTTAACAGTACTCTAGAGTAGGATAGAAAATAGTGGCGCGAATATGATGGCAAAAAAACGCCAGTTACTTTAATTTTCTTACAAAACGTAAAACAGGCGTCATGATAAATTCTCTTCATTTTCTATTCCAGGAAATCAGCGAAAGCGAGGTGGTAAGTGGCTCACGTAATGCAGCGAATATAAGATGTTTGGCGACAAGATTGTAGAGGCAAAACCGAAATATGTTTATTTAAGAAGCTGAAAACCAAATACAAAAGGTAATTTAATTCGGTTTTTAATTTTTATCAAAACCTTTGATTTCATTTTACTGTTTGACCATGGGCGGATTTATGGCTAAGGTTTGGGGGGGGGGGGGGTTGTGGTGATTTTTTTTGTCTTTTGTTTCTTAATTGCGCGGGCAAGTGATTTTTAGGGCGTTACAAAGGCTATTAAGCGTGTTTTAACGTTTGTGGCAGCCTAACATTCCCACCAAAATTGTATTAGTTTCTTGTTCTTTTGCGTAAACCCGCACTTGCTGCTTCAGTGGTTCAAACATTTGCACTATAAGTAGTAAAAAACAAAAATAGAGATAGAAAAAGACGTCCTGTGCATGGCTCTATATTCTACGTCTAAACAGTGACTATCTTCATTTAAGCAACACAGGCAATTGAGCCACGCGGCGTGAAAGAGTTTGTGCAGGGACTCGATCAAACAGGATACAACAATTTAGAAAATAAAACACCACAAAAAGACCTTAGAATAAAGGATTTATAAGCAAGACAAATGTAAGACGGCCGAATAATACGGAGACTTCCTAATTCCTTGACGAACGTGATCAAAATACCTTCTAATTTCATTTTTGTTATTTTATTTACTCACTCTAGAAAATGCACAGTTCTTGATAAAAGTGAGCATTTTGTTGGAGTAATTAAGCTCTAGTAAAGAAACAGTGGGTGGGATTTCTCAGCGACTTTACTCGCAATGACTTGGTGTTTTACGGGATACAGCCAAACAAAAATAAATGTTCGATTCTTTATGGTCTTGTGGATCCATGAAACCAATAGAAAACAAAGTGCGAGCTCAAATGGTCTTTAGCGCAGTGCCTAAGCAAATTGCATGGAACTACATTAACATTATTTATTAAACAGATTCATATTTATTTAATCAGATGAAGAAGAAAACTCCCTACATTTGGGGAGGACAGTATGCAGACATAATTATTTACGCGAGCTATCAAATTAAGAGTTTTTCACAGCACGAACATCGCCTTCCTTCGTCGTGCTCCCTGCGCGTAGCGGTCTATCACCTTCTGTTGGTTGAAGTTGACATCTCGACGGACGTGGAGGATGGCAAGACCGTTGAGTCGCATTTCGCCACACCGCGATCTAATCCAAGTCTTAATCCGACGAAGGGTGGAGGAGGACTGCTCAGCCGTCGCTACACTAACTGCCAGTGTGGCGAGAACGCGCAGCAGATTCCTGATGTTGGGATAGAGCTCAAGCTCTGACTCTTGAGGTGTCTTCACAGCTGTCGATGGAAGAGGCCCCTTCTTTCGATCGCGACTCCATTTCGCCGCCCACAGTGAACATTCGGTTCTGACGATGGTCTGCAATGCTGCATCTCCCATTCCGAGGAGCACGCCGTATTTCGCTGCCAGGATACTGAGCTTCGCTCGAGCTCCCTTGTCGCTCCCAAGGCGAGGCAAAAGTGCGTTGAGGCTGTACTCCTCCAGCAACTTTTCCGGCAAACGCTGCTTAAGATCTTCCACGACAGATTCCACAAGAGGAATGTATACGTGTGCGTGGAAGTATGACTCGGCTGTCTGTGGACACAAATTCGCCCAGTTCATTTGTCGTTGCACTAGACGAGGCACATTTATTTGGGCTCCCATATTCTCGGCAATGTCTTCTGCGTGCACGAAAAGTTTTCTGAAAGTCTTATCGACGTTCAACGGGTACCGCGTTTCGCTCACGACGACGATTCTGCCTTTCACAATGTCCGAGGCACTGTTCATTTCCAGATCCGGCTTTTGGAGCAGCCGACTTAGGGGAAGCATGACTGAGAGTACGTCGTAGGGAGCTAGGGTTGCACTTACGAATTCGGCATCCAGGATTGTTGTAAGCAGTGATCTCACCTTGGCAGCGGAGCTTTGTTCTCGCCACTGGGAAACCGTTTCCAACGCCTTTGCGATGCTTCCAACGCTCTCTCTGAACTGCGAAACAGCGTCGTGACTTTCGAACCAATGTGTGTAAGATAACTTGGTCGGTTGTTTGTCAAACGGAAGTTTCAAAACGGCGTTACGCTTGGGCTTGGCCGTAAAAACCGCAATGACTTCCCCCATTGTCTCGGTGCGCTCTAAGAAGAAAAAAAAAACAGAGGAAAAAGGGAGCAACGGCGCGTCTTCTTCCCTTCTACTGACGCGCCCCCAAGGGGACACGAGAAGAAGGGAGGACGTTGTTTTATAAATGTTGAGTGGATTGAGCCTCAGCGGCAGTGAAGTCCGCCTGTAATTCCGTCTTCTAGTCCAAACGTGTAGAAAATTTCGGTCGCATTGACGTTTTTACCGCTAATTTTATCAAACGAGCAAACGAAGCCGCTAGAAACAGCGAAGTTCCGGAGCAGTGCCAGCGTACACTGGGTGAGATGGCCGTCTTCGGTTTGGGCAACCCACGCGGACTACAGAAGTGGAACTACGCGGAACTGTGTCGACTGTGTCGACGTTTTCGACGTTATGGAAATCGCAGGAACCGCGTCCAAGACAGGCAGGTTTTGCTCCCGGCTGCCTGGGTGCCTTCCGTGCTGAGTTCAGTTCTGTTTTCTGATGCCGAGTGCCAACCGGTAATCAATGTGGTTTTGTATTTCTGCGTGTTACCAACATAGTAGCATCATCGTGATGGCAGTGCTGTGCGTTGTGAACGGAAGACTGGAATTATCGCCGATGTGACCGTGTGTTCGCGTGTCAGTGGTGTAACAAGATGAGATGACGTAAGCTGTCGGTCATTGATGCTACTGGTCGGGCCGTGATCAGAGTGCGCGGGGTGTCGCAGGTTGACATTGCGCTTTACATTATATTAAAGAGTTTAAGACCCCTTGAGGGATTAGGTGCAATCGATTGACCTGCTGATAGTCATTTTGGAACGCTGGTCTGAACGGTAAGCTCCATCGTACAGTGGCCGATGTGACTGTCAGTCCCCAAGACCGATTCCACTCTGGGGAAAGGACAGAACAGTGCGAAATTATGACGGATGGTACGTATATTTACAGTGTGAAATTTTAGGAATAAAAAAGAATAGTAGGGAAAATAAAAGAGATAGCTATCCTTTATTTTGTTGCTTAAATATACTACGGTTCCTGGAGAAACTGCCCTTTCAGTGGCGCGCTGGGATGAGCGCTAGAAGTTTTCGGGCTCGCCACGGTGTAGCTCCGTACACTTAACACCTGCCGCAACTCGCGGCTTCGACTGCATTCAAGTTGATCGAAAAGCGATTCCTTCGCCCGTGAAGCATCACTTCGAGCTGAGTGAATATCCACTCTACAGAGATTAATTAAAGGCGGCAATTACAGCCGTGTGCGAACAGCACAAATAGAAAAACACAACAATAGAAATACTGGCTACGAAGTGCCGTGCGGGGAAACAAACCCATGGCTGAACCGCATTGGAGCCGCTCGATTAATTGGCTTTCAAGTAATTACGACAGAATGGAGCGTTTTCTTTTCATTAAGATATTCATCCCCTGAGCCATTAAATATACTTTCAGTGGTATGACATTGCTGGAAAAAAATCGACATACTGGGAATATTTTTTATTGCTTAGGCAGTCGCCGAGAAATTCCGTACGTCCAAAACGACCAGTTTAAATGACGGAAACTCAGAGCCCGGGTGCACTAATCGGGTTAATGTGCCGTTGTATTGATGTTTGTATGTGCCATGTACTAGAATGCGGTCAATGTATGTTCAGCTTATGCTAATGTATGCGTAATGTGTCCACATAGGTGTACAATAGAGGTTCCCGAAGATCCTGAAGCGCAATGGTAGCGTGAGAAAATAAAAATTAATTTGCAGAACATGAATTGGGCGGCAGCTAGCGCCACCTAGCCTAGCTATTTGCGATTACTCTGCTTGACCCTGCCATATGGTGGCAAGTGATTTAATTTCCTTTTACGATGCGTGGCTACGCCATAATTTCTTGCTACCGTGCTCAAATGAGCCAAAAGGCTGCGTTGAATTTGCTGGTCTTTTTTTTTAGAGCGGCTTTTGGTTTTGCGGGCGAATGGTTTACCACTCTCCTGTGATGTGCGGTTCACGAAGGAATTGTGGCTCGAGGAATAGCAAAGGTAAGACATAAAGTGCGCGAAGTAACTAGGTGCCGGTCGTCTCCGTTTAACATCGCAGTGCTGACGATGAGAAGACTGAGTAACTGCATGCCTTCGAAACGTAAGTTTCTTGACTTGCAGGGGGAAGCCGGCTTCTGAAATGAATACAGTTCGCGGAAAGCTCGTGTTACGTTTTTATTTGCTGCTCATCTCGTTCCGTAAATAAACTTGGTGTCCTAGTTTAGCCTTATTGAGCTCGATTTGCTCGATTTGCTCGATTCATGGCCGCTATATTGAGATGCAGGTGACGGAGGAACTTTGCTACCCTTCTTTCAGGTACGCAAGTTTCTCCCTTTCTGAAGGAACATATGTGCCAAGAGCGTTCCTCCCTTTAGAGAGGATTATACTGACCCTTTTTTTAAGAGTGTGGTGTTTCGCACACTTCGCACAGTTGATATTTTCGATATAGAATGGTTCAAGCTGTGATTGAAGCAGGGCATCGAACTGCAGCACGGCTACTCTTTGGATTTCTTGAATGGCACTGCAGAGCTCGGAGGTCTTTACTGAGAATCCGTCCGTTGCAATGCCTACACAGCCTTTGGGGTCGAGAGATGACCTTAGCGGACTTAGTACGATTTTTCTCAGATTGGTACCAGTCAGTGTTGGCTCCAGTGTGTCGTCTTCGTCGTGCTTTTCCTCGTCGGACCCGCTGTCCGACATCGAAGAATTTTGATACTGATTTGAATCTTGAGGCTTGGGGATCTAACGGCCGTATTCATAAATGGACCTCGACTTGACACTCCACCTCGACTCACTGGAGTGGAGAAAAGCAGCTCGCCTCCACTCGAGGAGCCATCGGGCTTCACAGACGCGCCTCGGCGTTTCCTCGGCTGAGGAGCTCTTAGAGAAACCTTCCTCGACTCGAGGAAATTCGAGGAGACGTGAAAGGCGTCTGGTTACGAGGTTGTAGTAAAAAACGGAGTTCAAAACAAGATTGTGGTGTGAATTATGAACATATTAGTTCATTTTATTTGAAGGGACACAATTCACTAACATTCAATTGGGAGTCTGCAAGATTTCTGCGATTTCTGCTTCGCAGCGCGCATGTTTTAGGCGTTGTAGCCGGTTTTCGGAGAAACAGCCACAAGCGTTCTCCAGTCTGGCAACGGTGGCGGCCACTCTCCAGCTTCTGCGTCGTAGAGGCAGTTGTAGCTCGCTGCTGTCGTTTGTCTCTGCGTCTCGCCCGTTCTTCGCCGTCTCACCTTGTCTCACCGCTTATCTGCGTCGATGTCACCGCCTAGAACGAGCCATCGTCAGCCTTCCTCTTTCTTCAGAGTCCTACTAGAGTGCCTTGCCCTACAACGATGTCGTTCAATGGAGGTGACAAGAGGGGGCGAGTGGTTCCACAAAGGAGAGGAGCTTCTTCGTCGTTCTACTAACAACTCCCCGAAAGAAGTTAAAACTGACGCGTAGAAGAGCCTGCTCCAAGTATAACCGCCAGCCGCATGTCCGCCCACGAGTGTTGGGACAACGGTAAACCTAAGTGGAAGAAAACAGACTCCGAGAGGAAGCAGGACATCCACGCAACAGGTGTGTAAGCTATTTCTATATTCGGGCAGAACAACGCAACGTGTTCGCAAAATCACATGACAGGACGTGTGTACCAAATAACTCTGCAAGGGACTTTGCTGTGGCCACCTTCAGCGTCCGCAGGAGCTATTCAAGCACGTTACTGTCGAGGCGGTAGATGGGCAGTGACGGTGAATTGTCGCTATCTTTGGTGATTCTTGTGCCGACTTTGACAACTTACGTTTGCGTGTTGTGCTATATCCAAGCGAAAATTACGCAGCGATCATTATGGTTGCGCCACACTACCTTAGCTCGAGCTCCCACCCCTTTCTTAAGATTAGAGAGGCAACCTGAATGTCTCAAAAAACGCGACGCACGAAACTGACGCCATTACGCGTAGAAGTTACGCTAAGTAGGAATTTAGAATATGTTAATTAGACCTAGCACCTCATCTCCTTGTGTGCTAATCTTTTGAAGAAAAAAAAATCTTGTGCTGGTTTAATTGACTACAACCTCTGATTTCTTATTTGTAACCTCCTAAGAAATGCCATTATGTGAACATGAGACGTGCTGGAGTCCAGTTGTTTACATCTGTGTTTTTCAGGTGTCCATGTTAGTGTGCAACATTGTCATTTATTTGCGAGGTTTACCAGCGCATTGTACTGGCATGATTAACCCGGCACAAATTTTATATGGGTAGAAGTATACATTATTGATTTGAAAAATTGTGTGTCCGCAATATGACTGTTGTCGATGATCACATTAAGCTACTCCAGTATTTGCAATGCATATCAAGAAACAGCACAGGTAGGACATCACTTGTTTCGGATTTCATTCTTGCAGGAAAGTGTCGAGCAACAAATTGTACCGCATAAGTTGTAGTATGATTTGTTTTTCTTCTGCGTTGGGCTCTGTACATCTCAACTCATGGATGCTGTCACAGTATATTCTTTGGCCTTTCGTTGCAGGAGAAGGCACTGATGTCGCACCCGGTGAACAATGAGCCTGTCCCTCCATCTTGGGGGGGCACTGATGTCCCACATGGCAATACGGCTGCCGAGCCCGTACAACAGTGGCAGCACCCGCGCTGGTTAGCCGGTGCTCTCAATGCTGCCAGCCGCCATTCTCGAACCACAGTGAACGAGCGTGACGACTGACATGATGCCTGGTAAAAGCTTTCGATTGAATTTGCTACGTACACATAAAGGTTAGTTGCTACTTGATCACACAGCTCCCAATATTTATTTATAAAAAAAAATCTGTCTATGCTCTTCTGTTTATTATTTCGATTTTGGCATACTGTCTCGTAGGAACGCTAAAAATTTTGACAATGAGCCGCAATTTCATGAATGCGACTTGTTAGGGGTGCCACGTAGGAACACAGTAGATTCCTTGCGTCTGGATAATGACATGTTTATTGACGAATACGCCACACGTTTGCCCGAGGGCCAAGAAGGTC